GTCCGTGGGAATTGAACCTTAGACCTGCCACTTGGGGGTTGACAACCTATCCACTTCACTAGGTCGCCACACCCCTAGATTATTTAATTTATTTATAATTGTTAAAGATATATTATTAAGAAAGTAGTTTATATTAGAAAAATAAATGTTAAAAATGTGTTAAGAAATTATTGTCAAAAAGTTATAGTAAAAAAAATTTATATTAAAAAAGTATCAGCAGAAAAATATTTTTTGGAAAAATAGGTGTTAAGAAAGTGGTTGTCAAGAAAATTTTAAAGAACCTTTTTAATAGTATATACTTACTAAAACATTTTTCACATTAATATAAAATATTCTTATTATGCAAAAAAACAAGACTACAACAAATTTTTCAAATTATTCATACTTTTTTAGTTCGAGAAATATTATAAGCATTATATAGATCTTTTAAAAATCCATAATTTTGCAGTTATCAATATGTAAAAGCTATAGAAATGGAGAATGTATATCGAATTACTTAATTTTTAAGTATTGCCAAGTTTTTATCAATTTTTTTGAAGGTTTGATATTTTTACAAGCTACTTCAATTATGCCATTATAGAACTTTTTTAATAATATGACCGTAAATATCTTTTTGTTGTTGCTTAGCTAGTTCAATTTTTGAAACTAACTAAGCAATTGTCCTGACAGTATTTTCGACAATAGAATCCGTAATATAATAGTACTTATGACAAAATAAATGTTAAAGATGAATGACGAATACCAGGAACAAAGTGTATGGTTTATATAAAGTATTGCATGCACATTCCGTTATATCTATATTGTGCTAGTGCTAACTTTATTGAAGTCTATTGTTATTACAGTTTACATCAAACAGGAAATTTAAACCTATTATTTCTATATAGAAATAAGATGTAATGCGAAAATTATACATTTTTTAAAAAACAGATAATAACTCATCTATGAAACCACTTTCTGCACATTAAGAATGAACACTTCCAAAAATCAGCCATTCAGATTTAGAGATATGGTGTAACGTGAAAATCGATTTATAGATCCTTATTTTATCTGGAGTTAGCTTTAGGGTGAGATTAGGAAGTAGCATATAATAAGTTTGACAAGGAATTTTTTTGTCATAGGCGAGATTTTGAGATTTCAAAAAGTGCATAATTTCACGTTACACCCGATTGATTGGTGGGCAGTATTTTTGGAGGTAGTTTTAAACCTTACAGATAGATACACAAAGTTAACTTTTTCGGTTCTGTTAAAATTTGTATTTCTGATACGTACGTACGTAGGTAAAGTTTAACGTTAAAAAATTTGCTATATCAATATAAATTTTAATTTTTGCAATCACTACGTTAATGCAGTGATCCACTGTATTATATAAACCGAAAATTTTCTATGTACACATCATGCAATATGCTCTTATAATGCTTTCTTTGATTTTCATATGTTTTTGCCAAAAATCCGGGGTATATGCGAGGCTTGAATGCAGTGTTCAATACGCCATTTATTCTCGATCTTATGATAATCTTGATTTTTAGTCAAATTGTTAGAGGAATTTTGCCAAATTATTATCATATTAATCACTATTTGAAAGACTTTTATATATGTTGCAAAAGATTATGACGATTTATTTCATGAAAAGTTTTTTTTTTTTTTGCTTTTTGTGAAGAGTTTTTCCAATAAATAATCCAAATTTGTCCAACCTTATGTCTAATCCCCAATTACCCGATAAATGAATAACTACATACAAACCATGAAATTAAATAATGAAACTATAAATAATAACATTAGTCAAACAAATTTAAATAATAAAATTACAATATATATACTTTCCTCAAGAAAAAAAGAAAAAAAAAACAAACAAAACAACTCAATAAATTAGTTACATGAATTTGTGAGAATATTTCTCAAATATTAAACACAATGCAAAAGAAGCCAAGCCTAAAACTCGAATATAAATATTATTTGACCAGCAACCATATTATGTATCGATTTTGGTCGTATTCTTTCAACAATGTGCTATTTAGCTAAATTTTGGAGAGGGTGAATATTTCGAATCCTTTAAAAATTTTTTTTTTTGTTGCATTTAATGTCATCTAGTTCCATAGTTGTTTTTTTTATATATGTATATGTAAAATTTTGCGTTTAGGTTCGATTTTATTCACTTCTCCAATCTAAACAATATGATTTCTTGTTTTCAATACATAGAGGTACGTTTCATTTAGGTGTGCATAAGATTTATTTACCAATATTTCGTAACTCGGCCATAATTCTAGACTCTTCATTAGACCACCATTGCTCTATTCGGTTTGTTTTATTGAATATTTCAGATTCCTCTGAGCTTAACTCATTTAGTTTTGGAATTTCGCTTGCTTTATTGGTAGAAACATCTAAAAAAAAAAAAAAAGCGACCCAAATTTTTTAGTCAGATATTACGCAAGCCGAATGATTTTTAAAATAAGGATATCTTATGCGCTGCATATGAATTGTCACCTGAGTCATATATTCGTGAATTTGAACTACAAACTTTCTTAACTTTTCGTGCAAATGTTGAGAGAAATTCGCCGATACGCATTTTATTTCACACGTAATGTAGTTAAAACAGTTTTGTTCAGAAAATAATAAAAATGGTAAATGAAGAAGTGTATTTAAAAGATTATTTCAAACAAGAAAAAAGGAGGGGAGAATAAATCTCAAAAATAAAGCAGCAAATTGGGTAGAACCGAGCTGCAAGTCGTGGTAGAGATGCGTAATAATAATATTATTCAATAGTTTGTGGCCATTAAAATTGTTAGTACAGATGACATTGTTCCAAATCTGGTAAGTGACCCGGGTTAACCGTTTTGACTATGATACAATCAATGTATGCTAATGTATGCTAATTCTACAGCACGTATGGCAAAGCCTAATTTAATTCAAAAGGATATTCAATAGAAAAAAGATGTACATTCTGTATTTACGTACGTAAGTACATGCGTAGTATAAAACCTTCGCGACGGTTCGAAAAGTCTTGTAAGCATGACCATTCAGAATATAACATTTTGATCTAATGCAACTAGAATATTTTCATATCTTCCTGGTTATGTTATAAGAGTACTCTTTATATGTATGAATTTGGAAAATAATTGCGGACAAAAATCGGATTAAGGCGTACTAGTGCATCGTTTTCACGTTAACCAACCTTTATATATGTAACAATCATGTTCTAACATCTGAAGTCGCTATATACGTAATGAATTCGGTATGAATGTTTGACTAAGCCATACATTATCTTCAATTTCCTAGCAACGAAGGATCCGAGATATAGGCATATAATTTATCCAAATATTTTATAGTATTATGTTTCACTTTTAAAAAACAATTTTTGTAATTGGTGTGCGATCATTTAATCATTTACAATAGTTTACACAAACCAATTTAGTACGTATGTACACCCTTAAAATGGAATAATAGTTTTCTTGATATTATATGCTATATACCGATACGTGTTAATTATTGATAATGCTATATTTCATGTGACCAACGTACTATGCATTGTGTTATAATTTTTTGTTTATTTATCATTACTCAACTGTTACTCAAGATATCAACTTTCTATAATGTCGGAAGTTTATCCCGACCATAAGTGAATTTATTGAAATTAATGTTTAATCTTATCCCTTTATAGTGAAGTGATTGGTACCTCTTGATTTAAGACCCCTTCATTAAGAATTTGTTTATAAGAAAATTTTGTCTGGCTCTCTCTGGTTTAAATCTACGTACAATTAACTTCCACAATAATTACGTACATACCAAAATTGGTCGTTCTATGACTAATGCATGAGAATATATCTGTGCCAAGATTTGTCGATCATGTTTGACAAAATTAAGAAAAAAACTTCTACATCTTAAAATTTTACTTAACGTAAAACTGTTTTTCATGTTCAAATAAGAAGATACCTCTTGTAAGTTTGGTATATGCCTCGTTTTATATCCTTTCTAACCTTAATTTAACCTTAAATTAATACTATCCTCAAAATTAGTTTAATACGAACTGGTATCGATTAATCTAGACCAAATAATTAACAAATTCTGGCTTAGATTTTCTGTTACGTATCGATTAATCTAGACCAAATAATTAATCAAATCTGGCATATATTTTTTATTACAGTATCGGTATATATTATTTATATAATTAGATAATTATATTTGTTATAATATTTAAAATCAAATTTAAAATCAAATTTAAAATCAAATTTGAGGTTTAAAATTTTTTTTTTTAAAATATAGAATATTTTTTATTTAAAATAATATAAATAAATTAAACCTTTTGCTAAAAAATTAATTTATAAAAAAAATTTTTTAATATTAAAATTAAGGTTTATCTTTTATGATTTATTAACTTGTACACAAATTTTTATGGAGGTAGAAACCGATAAATTTTAAAACCCGAATTGGATTTGTGTGTAATATAAAACCAGTTATTATATTTAAGTTAAACCGGGTGAGATTCAAATTGAATTATAATCGGGTTGCATGATTTAATATAATATAATTAATTGATCAACGAGAACTCTAATTGGCCAAAATTATTTAAACTACCCTAAGAACACTAAAAATTTTTCGATAACAAAATTCTTAAAAGTTTGTTAATATAATGGTTTACGTTTATTTTAGAGCTTGCTATTATTAGAGTACATAGTAAAATTGTTCAAGGAAACCTTTTTGTTAGAGCACTAAAGATGGTTTCTTATGCGGATTTTTGAGTTATGAGCGATTCTTTGCAAAAAAAAAAGTTTGTCTTATTGTCCGAAGCATAGCGTACTTCTACGAATGTCTGTTACAAAAATAAACTAAGTAATAAAAAAAATTGGTCGCCCTAGCCAGATATGTTAACTAATTGCTTCGGACATTTATCAGCTTCTGATATCCTAATGATCGTGTTACGTTACACCTGATCTTCAACCGTGATTGGCTTTCTGTCTACCAGTTCTCGTAAACACCTACCAATTCGGATAATTTTTGTACCTATCTACCTACCCTAACTTAGGGTAGGCACATGAGCTGGTAGGTGTACGTAAATTTACTTATTCTTGGGGTAGTTAAATCGTTTATCTTGTTCACGCGAAATTTAAATATTGCAAATTTATATAACCGTTTTTTTATCTGGTTATAAAGTTATGTTCCTTAGCAAATAAAACTAAGACTAGTGATTTGACCCATCTAAAAATTAGCTGCCCGATACGTAAGTATCGGAGCAGCATTTTGTCTCGAATCAAACACGGAGTGAAATTAATTAATTTAGTAATTGTATCGTGTTTGATTGCATGATTTGTGTGGCATGATTCAAGGGTATAATGACGTTAGTTTTTCTTATGGATAAACGATAGAGTCTATCGTAAAGGTTACGTATTTATGAAGTATATTTGATTGTAAGCGTTGAGTTTATTGCATATTGGATAGTCTTTTGATCTGATGATCGTTAGAGTTAATTACAGTAACGACGTAATTACGTCGTTAAAGTTTGTTAAAGTAACGACGTAATTACGTAGTTCTTTTGATTGGTTTTTTTTGATTATAATCGTTAGGGCATATTTAAAGGGGATAGGGTTTTTCCAGATAAGGTAGTTTCTGTTTTTTCTATTAAACCGACGTTGTCTGGTTTTTTCGTCCCGCCCTTTCCCACCCTCATAGATGCCCTTTCCCACCCTCATAAATGCCCTTTCCCGCCCTCGTAGATGCCCTTTCCCGCCCTCGTGGATGCCCTTTCCCGCCCTCGTGGATACCCTTTCCCACCCTCGTGGATGCCCTTTCCCACCCTCGTGGATACCCTTTCCCGCCCTCGTAGATGCCCTTTCCCGCCCTCGTAGATGTCTCGTGGATGCCCTTTCCCACCCTCGTGGATGCCCTTTCCCACCCTCGTGGATACCCTTTCCCACCCTCGTGGATGCCCTAACAAATGCTGTTGGTATGCTATAACACCTCCTTGATGAGAGACAAAAACCTCTGCCCGGGTCACCTGACTGGTGAGCCACCCGCGGATGACCCAGGTCAAATTACTCACATACTTTTTCCTAAATTAGTAACTAATCGCATGCAACAATCACGAAAAATTAAATTCGCGAAAATTTATATAATGGTGTGTTATCTCGTCTTTTATATTCAATTATTGCGCTTCTAATAATGGGTAAAACAAAACTTTCTTCATGATTATGATTAGGAGTTATAGAACAAAATATCAAAAACTCTCAATTCTACATTGAATGCATTAAATGGTGTTTGTCTACTGAACGTCTCAAAAGGCTCTATACGTAACTTTCTTAATGATATTCTACCTAATAATGAAGTCTTCATCAATTGCCTAAAAAAACGAAGGTATTCTTCCAAAAAAGCCTATGTGCAAAAAAAAAAAACGGTTTTAAGAATCTGCTATTGTTGAAACACATGGAATAATTAACAACGTTTATGATAGTAAAGCAAGTTTCACATAATACAATAACATAACTCGTGAATCCTCACCTCCTCCAATGAAGCAATTATTTTCTTTCACTGAGAACGAGCAAGGAGCCATTATTGAACCTATATTAATTTGGTCGAAAAAGTACTTTACAAATTTCTTGTTGGCAACGAGCATATCATCTTTTCTAAAATCGTAGAGTCCTTTTGCCACTAAACAACATCCTCGAATCAGTCCTAATTTCGCAAATGCTGATGTATTATGCATGATAAACTTCATAACTGAAAATGTTAATATATTTTCGAAGCATTCGGTTTTTCACGGCCGTTACAAGGCTAACCCTATTGAATTACTAAGCAACTTTAAAAAGAACGTTAGACACAAAATGGCTCATGGAATAATAGTTGATGAAAATGATAGATGGAGTGACCTTGACCTGCAAAACGTTGCACACTTGGCATGCGTGATTGTTACCTTGCCTCGATAAGTATTTAGAAATAATCTGTCTCATAATAACACTCACAATAACATGACCTAACTCTTTCGCTTGAACATTAAGTAGAGATTACAAAGATGTATACAAAAAATAAAATCGATTATATGAATTCTTGTGGAATGGTTGAGTTTGTTTTGAGTATTCTTGAAGATTATGTGAAAGCGAAGAAAGAACGTAAACAAAAAATAATGAAACTTGCGATGAAAAGATGAATGGTTGAGGAACAAGACAAAAAAGAAAAATTTCATAATTTTACCCGATTTATGAATTTGGCATTTGACGTTGTAAGTATTAAAGATTAGCTAATAGTTTTCTTTGCATGAAAAATTCATGTATTAAGGCAACTTTTTATCCACTTTCCATCCCAGAACTTGACGGCTAACACCAAATCAAGGGATAAAGGTATGACTCCGTGCGGGTGGTTGCAGCAGAGCGCGTGGGAAATAAGTTCTCGCATAGTCTCACCCAAGTCAGCGTGGGTATAAACTTACCCTGAGCAACGCTCTGTGTGTAGGTTTTAATGGTTCACCCAGGATATGGATTCTCTTGGATTTGCTGGACTCGATGGCTTAACGAGGATAAACGAAGCTACTTATTTCGTGCATTGCCTGCTGACTACTTAGTAATTTTTTTCTACATGTGTTAACTTTATAACAACATAGTGCGTAGGAATAAGTTCTCGCATAGTATCGAATTAACTCCATCAGGAGTCTAGACACTTTTGCAGTAACATGACGTGGCGACCAATTGGGATGCGTAAATTTGATTGTTCCAGATCAGCCTCAAAAACAAAACACGTGTACAAGAAAAAAGCGAAAATATTCAGAAACTAGTGTTTAAATCAGCCTTTGAGCACTAACAAAAAAATGTCGGAGGCGTAATTTTACATATAGAAATGATTTTTTTTCAAGGCCTATAACTACAAACCCTAACTAGAAACATAACATAAAGCCAAAAAAATTATCCGAATGTGCCACAATACCCCACATCACGTTATTGCAAAAGTGTCTAGACTCCTGGTAGGTCGAGGATGGAAAACCAAGCTGACAATGTAAGTTACAAATTCACAATGTAGATCAGATTCAAAATTAATTTTGCCGTTATTAAGATTAAAATTTGGCCAGAAATAAATGACAGTTAAAATAATCATTTTTCCGAAATGTACAGGTAAATATGGACGAACGTTGTTATGACCCGTGAGAGCCTGTCTTCACTCGACGCCGACTTTAGCAAACATAGGCGTGGGATATTAGGCTTAGAACAATAGGTATGAAATGCTTATTTACTTTATTTATTACCATGAAATCGAAAAGGGAGAACGAGTTTATTATCGTGATAAGTTCTTTATAAGCAAAAGCGGAAAAAATCTCTATACCTATTTGGATGAGCACCATATTTATACATTTAGATTGCGAGGGTTTTGAACTCTTGATTTAGCTTGACATTTGTCAAGGTAATACTACCTTGCCAGGATTAGTGTGTGGCCATGGTATATGTCGCGATTGAGCCGATGGGTGGAAAATACTAAAGTAACGAGAATGGCGTGAACAATTCTTCGATTCTGGTCTTCTTATTTTCCCTGTTAAAAATGTATAAAGACCTTGTTATTGTAGAGAAAAATGTAGGAGGAAGAAGAATCTAACCCCAAGAAAAAAGTAATAATAAATCATTCACTCTAATAAAGCTATTTTTGAACATTGTAATGCATAATCGTTCCCGCGTAACTTACTCGACTCATCACAAAGTTGTTTTTATGTAGAATTATGTAAAATTTTTATGTAACTTTACAAAAACCAATGTAGATTTACATATATAAATCTAAAATATTCTATATAGTAATAATATTTAATAATAAAAATAGACTAATGTTGTAAGTGGAAACGTAATTTAGTTAAACTAGGGTTGGGTAAGGGTGTTCATATGATAAAATCAACCCCAAAATGCTGGTTTTATATAAAAATTCTGAATCCATTTAAATTCTGTTTCAACTTACAACAAATAAAAACAAAAGGCTATCGCTTTGTTTATTGTTCTTATATAAGTCACATGTGGAGTTTAATAGCCAAAATATTTTTATTCATCAGTGTTTCCAAAGTCTTAATGGATTTGATTTTCACTGAGAGATGACTTTCGCCGGGGTTTCGCCATTTCACCAGGGGGTTTCTTTCGCTGGGTTTAGGTTTCGGCTTTCGCTACTTGCGCGAAATGGTTGTCCAAATTTAGATTTGCAGGTTTAAAACGATCTATAAAAATCATAAATTCCAATATGAATCGGATACATATTAATACTAAGCAGTGTTGACACTGGAAGACCACTGGAAGGTTACTGAAAGTAAAATCAATAGTGTAATCCAGTGACAACACTGTTAATACTATCAAACATTTCTACAGACTGTTGAGATTTATTACATAATTTTGTTGATTATTTTCACGAGGACATAATAACATAGATAAATTCCCACATAGTTCTATTATAGATATTTTGATCCATTAAATACTTATACTACTAGTACATGTAATATTCTATTATGAATAAACACCTCTTTCAATTTTGTGATCGAAATCGTTGGATGCATATTCATAAAAGAATACGATTCTATAAAATGAGATCAGGTTTATTTAAATGATAAAGTTTGATATTGCAATATTTAACAGTGAATTATGTAAATTTGTGCTACATCTTTTATTATATATGTATATATGATACGTATAACACAAAATGACAATTAATTTTGCTGTAACATCTCAGAATTATGGTCGATGAATTTAATTCTAAAAGAAATGAAATTTATGGAAAATGTGCAAATTGTAAGCGATATAACACATCTTACGCTTGGTGTCAAACATGCGACCCACAGAAAACAGCACAAGGATGGACAAGTGGAAATAAGGATGTCGATGATTGTATTAAAGAAATTCAACTTAA